ATAATATTTTGTGTTTTTTTTTGTTTGTGTGTTTATATATATATATATATATATATATATATATATATATATTCATTTTTATTTTAGCTTTAGTTATTTTAGTGCATCAAGTTAAACTACATGCGAATGAGAAATGTTACCTTGGCAACTAGTTAATATATATATATATATATATATATATATAATTAATTTTTTTAAGCAATAAGCTTTTTTAATGATTTTAGTATTTATCACGTCTAATCTGGTTAGGAAAAACAAATTAACATTATAAACTTATTCACATAAAAGTAGCCCTATTTAAATAAATAAAGTACTAGCAAAAGAAACATTTTGAACATGGAACCATGGTAAAACCTTTTTTTTCACATGTACCATGGCAATACCATGTTTTTTGACATGCAATCTTTACAATTTCTTGCTATGTAAATAATTCATGAATAAAACCATGGTATACGTCAATGTACCTTGGTATTACCATGGTACAAAGGTAGTACCATGGTATTCTTGGAAGTATCATGGTATATTATTTCACATGTATCATAGTATATTAGTATCATCTGATGCAATCACCAAACCATGGTACTTTTTTCATTTAATTCGCCTGTAAGTCAAATTTCAAGACTTTTGTCTGTAATTATAATAATTTATGTCAGTTTAATGATATATAATAATAAAATACTGTTTTTTTTTACATGCAGATTCTGACAAAGACAAAACAGATTAACACAAAGATGAAAAGAGTGGCGAGAAAGACGAGAAAGACACTGGTAATGACTCCAGTAAAGACTCAGAAGACGAGGGTCAAGAAACCTCTGAGACGCCAGACAAAAGCGACTCAGACACTGATGAGGTGAAACTTTCAGACGACTCCAAAGACCAGGATTCAGAATCGAAAGACACTGACAGCACGGAGAAGAAAGAGAAGGAGCAGGACTCTGACAGCGACGCAGACACCAGCAGCGATCAAGACACGGCAGATTCCCCTGATGCAGCAGACGCCAAGGACAGCGCTGAGGATAAAGACAGGGACAGCAGCGACCCGAAAGACACTGAAGATGATGGAGACAGTGAGAAGGACGCCAATGAGAAGGAGGACACCAATGAGACGGGCAGCGATAGCAATGAGGGAAAAGATAAAGAGGAGCAATCCAAACCAGACGAGCAGGACAAGGAAGACAGCAGCTCAAAAGAAGACGTCACAGCCAGTCAGTCTGACGAAAGTCCACTGGAGGAAATGACAGAAGACAAGCAGGAAGACAACCCTGAGTCTGACAGCTCCAGTCTAAACTCAAATTCAGACTCAGACTCTGACAGCAAAGATAAAGAGCAGGACAAAGAGAAGAACAGCACAGAGTCCACAGACACAGAAAGCTCCGACAGCGACAGCAAGAGCGACACGGACAGCTCTGAAACAGGAGGGGAAGGTAAACATTCAAGCCTTCACCTTTTACAGTCATTAAACCACAATATCAATCGACTGATTAATGCTTTTATGGCTCCAGATACTGATGAAGACAATGACTCCAGCGTGGAAAAGGAGAAACAAGGTATTTACTGATAATAAATATGGAAGACCATTTGTAGCTCAGAGTAAAAAATTAATCCAGATAATTGTGAGAATGTTTAAAATAAGAATAAAGTCACACTGTGCAGTATGAAGTCTCAAATGAGATATATAAAGTCATAATATAAAGCCATAATTGCAGGACATAGTCATTTTGTGTTACATAAAGTCACAATTTTGAGTTTTAAAGTCATATTGTGAGATATAAAGACACAGGTAAAGATATAAAGTCACATATTGAGGTATAAAGTCATAATTGCATGATATCAAGTCAATTTCAGATTTAAGATGCAACAGTTGACAATATAAAGTCACATGTTGAGATATAGTCACAATTGAAGATAAAGTCACAATTTTGAGATATAAAGTCACATTTTCACATAAAGTCATATTGTGAGATAAAAAGTCAAGTCAAGTCAAGTCAAGTCACCTTTATTTATATAGCGCTTTTAACAATACAGATTGTGACAAAGCAACTGAACAGCATTAATTAGGAAAATAGTGTCAATAATGCAAAATGACAATAGTAAACACTCATTTTTCAGTTAAAGACAGTTCATCATTGAATTCAGTGATGTCAACATCCAGCTCAGTTTAAATAATATCTTTGCAATCATGTCAACGATAACGCTGGAAATGAAGTGTCCCCAACTAAGCAAGCCAGAGGCGACAGTCACAATTTAATAAAGAAAGTCATGATTGTGAGATACAGTCATAATTGGGATAAATTCATAAATGAAGATGTAAAATCATGATTGTGAGATATAAAGTCAAAACTGTCAAAAATAAAGTCATAATTGAAGATGAAAAAGTCAAGGTTGTGAGATCACATTTTGACGAAGTAATATTCTGAGATTTAAAGTTATTATTGAAGATATATATATATATATATATATATAAAGTCATAATGGTAACACTTTAGAATAGGGAACACATGTTCACTATTAACTAAGAGTTTCCCCTGTAGAAACTCCGAAATTGCTGCTATTAATAGTTAATAAGGTAGTTGTTAAGTTTAGGTATGGGGTAGGATTAAGGGATCTAAAATATGGCCATGCAGAATAAGGCATTAATATGTGCTTTATAAATATTAATAAACAGCCAATATGCTAGTAATATGCATGCTAATAAGCAACTAGTTAATAGTTGGTCCTTAAAATAAAGTATTACCGTCATAATTACAAAGACATAAAGTCATAAATGAAGATTTAAAGTCACTGTGAAATAGAAAAATAAACAAAAGGGGCTTCCGTAGATATAAATTCACCGGCAGTCTGTACTGTCACAGAAAAAAGCTGGGAATTTCTAATAAATGAATGTCTAAACCTACAGAGTCTCCTGATGGTGCATCAATAGAGACAAATGACTCTGACTCCAGCGGTAAGACAAACTACAACATTTACTGTTTACACAAAACACTTTCATTTCAATGCTAACTGCGAAGCAGATGTGATGTACAACACAACAGGCAATAAATTGTTCTACTCCATGTAAATCTAAGGGTTTCTTTCACTTGTCTTCACAACGGACATGGAAAATGATAAAGCTTTCATAAAAGAATCTAGCACTGGTTAAACAATATAATATAATGAAATATTTGTGAGTTTGATCTAAGTATGTCGTTTGCAAAAAAATGCAAGTTACTTTTGAATGACCATCACTGGAGGACGAAGTTACATCGCACAGCATTTTTGATTCAAGTATGGACAGACCAAAAACAACTGAAGATAACTGAGACATAAAGTCAGTTATCATTTATCACATAGATATCACATAGACTCACACAGCATTTTTGATTTAAGCATAAAGTCATATTGTGAGATATAAAGTCCCAATTGTGAGATATAGTGTCACTAAAACATGTAAGACATGATGAAATTGATATTTATCTTTTTCTTCTTCTAGATGATCATGACAATGACTCAACAGATGCTACAACATCAAACGGTAAATAAGTCTATGAGCTCAGTTATGTAAGAATGAAGTGATGTAAAATGCATTAAATGTATGTACTTTCAATTTTTTGCCATCTCTAGAGGAACACACTGACGAAAACACTGATGCAGACAGCCATGACGCTGCAGACGGTACGTCTCATGGGTCTAAACACTTCATTTTCAGCTTTACTATTGCTTACACACCTTAAGTATTATATTTTGGCACACAACTCACACCATTTGTGCTAAAGACATGAATGATTGTTACCTGTTACTCTCTGATTGGGCTGAATTCTCAAAGAATTCTGGGAAATTGTGAATTGACTGCCTCAATTCTTTCAAAACGCTTCTTTCTGTCTAGATGATGATGAAGTCAGGGTTGAAGATGGCACAGGTAAGTCACTCACTCATTTGCCTCCTCACATCATAGTTGTCTCAGATTTTTCTTCCAAAAAACAGATACAGTAAGTGATACAGTAAGAGTATAGATCTGGCACTAGTCTGCCAAATCCATACATGTACGTCATTTTGCCTCAAATATATTTTGTTTCATTTCATACTTAAAACTGTGACTTCTGATTTAATGAAAAATGATAACACATCACATCTTATTTTTTTTATTTATTTACTTATTTTTTTTCAGACGCTGCTTCTAAAACACACGATGAACCAGATCATCTTGATGACACAATACAAGGTAATGATTCTGCTTAAAAACTTACTTTTCAGGGAATGGGAGGTCAAAAGAGATCTTTACACATGCTAATCTCAGTTCCTCTCTTTCTGCAGGATCAGATGATGGCAGCAAAACCCCTATGCCAAGCTCCTAGCGACCAGGACTCTACAAAAACACTGTAACAGGTATTACGTAATCACATATTAAAAGATCTACATAGGCCTTACTTTATACAACATATTTCAAATTTCTATTCTTACCATTGTCATAAAAGCGCCTGTCTCTTACCCCATTGTCTCTGGTTACTTCATCTGTAATCATAAGTAATCATACTTTTAACTTTATGTTTTTTCACATTTTTTATATTGCAGTCTCCTGAACAATGAATGTACATTTAAAGGCAATTATAGCATATCAGTTGTATCAAATAAAATTCTAAGACAAACAATAATAATAAAGGGTAAATCAGCATATTGATAAGCAATTAACATGCATTTTGTGCATTATAAATCAACCAATCAAAGTAGCCTACATTCAAGGATTTACAGTAAAGTTCAGTAGTTTACAGTTCACTCTATTTTTGCTTTTTTATTTCTCGTTTCTGCTATTGTATGACGGTAGTGACCTATTTCTGTCTTAAAATGAGCAAAGTCTTTTTCAATGCCTCTTTACATTTGTGGATATAGAAATTTACATGCGAGTCATTTATACATGTCAAACTTCTTGATATTGCAAACTGGCTTACTTCCGCGTTCCAAAAAAAGATGGATGACATACCCAACACAGACATTTGAAGTCACCTGTATCGCCCTCTGGAGTCTTGCGGTGTTACTGCCCCAATAACAACAACATTCATGACTTCACTGATGTCCTAGCATAAAGTAGCCCATTTAGAATTGGGCTCAAGCATGTATTGTGCATTGGAAATGCTGTCTAGGTAGGCAGCACACTTGGTTTTGGAACAGAGCTATTGTTCAACAAGGAAAACAAAAAAGACATAAAACTCATAAGACATTCTAATTGATATAATTGAATGACTGATACATTCACTATATCATTTTTGTGTCTCACTGCAGATTTTTCCTGGAGAGACGTAAAAAGCTCCACCTGAGACAGTCAAGATAACCAGAGTTTCACATCCCATTAAAACACATTGACACGTCCCTCTAGTCCTTTCTCTCTCTCTCTCTCTCTCTCTCTCTCATATGGTGAAGGTTCCTTTCTAAGGGTTCTGGGATGCAGATTAAATTATTTGGCTGTTTGCTGTACATTCCATTTTTTAACCTTGTCCTAATTCTAGAACTTTTGTATCGTTTGATATATTAATTTGACCAAATTTAGATGGAAATGCATGATGAACAGTGAGGTTCTGGAACTGCGTATCTCATGCATTTGTCTGTTTGCGTAGGGCCTAAATATATTTTGTTTTGAGTGACACATTAAACTTAGAGAGTAGAACTAAAAGAAGGAATTTTGAGAAAGCTACACGATTTGGGTCTGGTGAAAATGTTGATCTGTCAAACCTGTGATGGTTCCACTGGTTTGGCCACATGGTGTCCCCATCTTTGGCACTGACTGAAAGACTGCAGCTGCTACAACGAGAACCTTCCCTCTTGCTCTCAGATAAACGCCGGCCTGAAATGTCACAGAATGAGATATTTTCTGCCCACCCAATGATTTGAGACTGTACAGACAATTTCTGATAGAATCTCTGATGTCTATGTCTCTGTGGAGGAATACTAATAAACTAGCAATGTAAGAGCACAGATTGTTCTGAAAACTGTCAAAAAAAATAATTTTGTATAGATTTACAAGAAGTCATTTTAATATGTACACAGGGAGCAAATCTAATAAAGACTGGGTTGTCAGAAAATTAAACGACCATGGAGTATTTATTTTATTTTATATATTTATTTGGTGTGTGTGTGTGTGTGTGTGTGTGTGTGTGTGTGTGTGTGTGTAAACTAAACCACAAGCACATGCACATCTTATTCTGGATTTTTAAATTTAATTACAACAACATAGTCACAAGATGATAATAATAAAAACAAAACAAGAAAATAAGAAAACAAATAATTAAAATAATAAATAATAAAAATAAAATTCAGTCCCTCATGCAATCCAATATATAGATACTACACCAAAAATAACAAAATAGTTTATATATTTATAGCTATATCTTAGTAATATGTATTATCTCATTTATTTTCAAAGTACTTTTGTGTCAGTTTATTATGTTGTTTAGTCCAGCCCAACACAATTCTTTACCTGAAGAGCAAAAAAGGGGTCTCTTTTTGGTTTATTTCAACTAAAAATAGACACAATTATTAAAAATTCTAATCATTACCGACAAAGAATGATTTATTAATTCATACAGATGGACCAGAACGACTTCATTGTCAAATAAGAATGCGTTTCACCTGGCTAACTGGGTACGTTTGTTTGAAATAGCTTTAATATTTAGGTTTAGGTCAGTCTAGTTTATATACGTAAAGAATAAGTCTATATTAGGCCTATATAAATAAAGTTGCTCTCCTAGTATATAAAAATATAAATATATATTAAAGTCTATATGTAAATCTATATATAAGGCAGAAAATGTGAACTATATATATATAAATGATTATATAAATAAAGTTTGTATATAGAGAGTAAAATAAGATAATTATATTATTGATTATTATTGATTTTGGATTTGGTTAATAAATGTTTTATAAACCTACATAAATAAACAAATAATGTTTGTATGTATAATATACAATATAAAATAAGTGTGTGGTTTCATGTGTGTATGTATGTATACATATATATATAGGCCTATCATGTACATCAAACATTTCAGCAAAGCAAGTATAGTTTGCGAGGCTGCACACAGAGTTAAACATTATCAAATGGCCTTATGAATGGATCATATTTCAGCGATTTTAGTCAGAGAAAGAAAGTCTTATCTAAGCTCTTATGTCTTAACGTATTTAAAGATTTAACCACAGTCTAGATTCCTTGACCCTTACCCATTGAAAGAGTTAAGTTTCCACGTGTGTCTCCACCGGGTCTTTGGAGCACAACACAATCTCGCGTTACATCTCGGTGGTCTAAACCTGGCCCTGGGGTGAACAAACGAGAGGATGAGGAGGAAGAGGAAGGTGTACCCTGGACAAAAGCCACTAAACAGCTCCGAACAAAGCGCTTGCGGCCCGCCTGTCCGAGCGTGACTTACAGGTCTGTGTGCAAATGTTCCCGTCACCCCAAACTTACGGGAGGCCGATGAAACCAAAAGCTGGGTTTCAAAATGGAGATGGCCAGTGAAGCTTGTCCCTCAGTGCATTAGCTTCCCCCGCGGCCCACTTTCCCAACAGGGCGGAAGGGCGCGAGAAGCCTTTAGAAATATTATACTTTAATTTAAAGCGTAAGAGGGTTTAAACAACCACTCCTATCTAGTGGCTGATATCTGTGAGAAAAGACCTACCTTTTACTGACAAACAGCGACACACTTGGTCGACCATTTTTGCACGTAATATAAGACGCAAGCGAATGACTGTTTGTTTAATATCCAAAACTAACAATGAGATAAAAACCAATTCAAACTCCTAAAAGGACACGTTCATAAGAGTGTCTGTTATCTGGAAACTCATTTATCAGCATCTGTTGACAATCCATTGAGAGCCAATCCTGATTTCAACACTGTGTTTGGCTTTACTGAGGGTCGAGACAGGTGTGTGATAAGTTCTGTCCACATTAGCGTTTCTTTTCATGTATTCAATTCATTTCTCTGTCAGTCATTCAAATAATTTTGAGTTCTTAAAAGTTCTTAAAGGAACAGTTCACCAAAATGCTGTTATTGTTTATGGAACATGAAGATTTTTATGTTGTTCTTTTGCAAACACCTGTTTGAGATTTTCCTTCCATAACATATCGTCATTCAGACTGGAGAAAGAAACCATCCAAAATACACATTTAAGTGTTTATTACACTTTATCTGTGTCTGTAGGTCTCAGTTCATTCATATCTTTCAAGGGAGTTTTTTTTCCTTCTGCATTGAGCCAGAATTCTGAAGGTTTGCAGTTTGTTTGTTCATATGGCCTATAATTCGCCTGATTTTTTTTGACATTGTTTTCTGATTTATGGAGTGATAAAAAAAAGATATCCAAAATTTTAGATATCTCAAAAATGTATCCAAAAAACCTTTAGCTCAACAAAATGTAACAAGAATTTTGAATCTGGCTTTTATACAATTTCGGGTTCTGGAATTTTATGCAAATTAGGGCATATTTAATTAGATAATGCCTCATTTGCATATATAAACAGAACATTTAAAACAATGTGTAATACAAAGCAATGGTCCTAATGTACTGTGATGCTTTCATTAGACAACTTAGAATTGTGTGCACGTACTGCCAAAAAGTAACATCAACTAGAAAGTAAATTAAATCATCACTTTTGGCAATGCAGTAATCATTCTGTGGTTGTTTAATATCGGTGGCGAACATTCATTCGAGACCTCAGGCAGGAAATGAGAACTAGTCTGACCCTCTGATCAAGTTTAACGTCCACCTGTCCACACTGTTCCTCTGTCCTGCTATACGACATATTAGATTTGGCCCACGGTGATTTATTACAGAACGGTTCAGGGACCCAAAACTCCAGTGCCGCATAGTAATTTCAGACAGATCGGGTTTCTAAACAGAATGGCTCCTTCAGGACGATCAGAGGTGGCTCGTGACCACTGAGACAAAAAGTCCTAACAGAGCTCTGGATGAAGCTGAAATCTGAGAATAGAACAGGAATCTGTATGAGAAAACGCGCAAGTGTGTGTGTGTTTGTGCTGGACCACAGTAGAACTCACCTTTTGCAGCCTACATGCTCTCCTGTGGTCCACTGTAGTCTCTGAGGATTTTTGTGTTTACCCAAAGTTTTAACTTTTTTTTTTAAATACTGAAATGTATTTTAAAAATAATATTTAAAAACAAAAATTTTATATTTTAAAACATGCAAAAAACGGCCAAAAATATATTTATGTAATAAACTTAATATATTTTAAATACACTTTAAATATATTTTATATATTCTATATATTTTATATTTCTACTTATTCTACATGCACACATACATAATAGTTTGAGACCTTTTTATATTTAAAAATCAAAATATAAAATATTAAAAAAAGAACATAGTTTTGACAATAATATAAAATAAATATACATTTTTTAAATTTCTTTATTTTGAGAGTATACATTTTTATAAATATAAAATATTAAAAAATTACTTATTTTATCTTAAGTGTTAGAATATTTTAGAATATCATATAATATATGATATTATTATACAATCCTTTTTATGTTTTAAAACATTATATAAATATAACAAAAATATCACATAAAATAAGAATTTAAAAATAATAAAAAGTAAAAAAATATATATATATATTTTGACAATACATTGCCACAATATTTACACAATTTATTTAAAAAAAATAGCAAAATACATATGCATAACACTGATACAAATTGTCTTGCCTCTAAAGTAATTTTTGTCATTTTAAACAAAATATATTGTCATTTTGGAAAAATATATTTCTGCCATACACAGGATACAACTGTGGTGGTCCGTCCTTTTCCATTTGGTCCGAGTGCAGTCTCTGTATACGGCAGCCACCCGTTGTATACCGCCTGACCCCACCGGCCAAGCTGAACAGATCCAGGACTGGCACTTCTAATCTCGTCACCCAAGATTGGCTCCAAGAGCGCTATGGTTTCAAGCACCTGACAGAGAGCTTTTGTTTGAGATCAGGCAGGCCTGCAGGAATGAGGGAAGCCACAGGACATGAAACTGGTCAGCAGAAATCTGGTCACATCTGCCAACAAGACCAGCTGATGTGTAATAATACAGCTTTTCAATATGTCTTGTCATTCCACACTGCTACGGTGATGGACACTGTACCAGCAGGTGGAAATTTCTACTAGCAATAGTAGACTACTACTCTAGTGCTCAAGTACATGTAAATAATTTTTTGTGAACCACTGATTTAAGTTATCTTTCAACAGCAAATGAGCCTAATATTTCTGCATAAGCGGGAAAACAAAAGCTAACCGTATAGTCCCGCATTATGTAAGCTAACTTGTTTTACATGTTGTGGATTCAGGGTTTAATAATGAATACACACAGTATCATTGTAACATAATAGTACAGATCGATCAAAATACACACACATAGTTCACATTTCACATTACAACAAAGAAAGTTTGTTAAGCTCAAGAGCTCAATAGCTTTGCTATGACAAACGTCCAATTAGCTCATCATTCTGTGAGGAGTTTATCACAGAAATGCATTTCAAGGCCTGCTGGTGTTTGTTACATTGTAAAACAGGCTTGATGTGAACTGGCACACGCTACAGGAATGCAATCTACTTGCGAGCTGCCAGCTATTGAGTTCCTGCTATGGGACAGGACTTTAGTTTATGCAACACATAGATATACCATAGTACTTGAATGGACCATGCTAATCCATTAAAACAGCACAGTAATTCCTAATGTTATTGGCTTTCTTTCCTGAAAGACCTGGCAACATTTGTGGTTCTCATTTACTCAATATTATGGGGGGGGAAATGCATAAATAAATAAATGCAAAAAAAAAAAAAAAAAAGAGTTAGAAATTTCTTTTTACATTTTTTTTTTTTTTTTTTATATTTGTATACATATTTTTTGCTATATTCATGATTTAGGAATATTGTACATTAAGGTGTAAGAGGTCCTTTTAGATTATATTTTAATATAAATTGTAAAAATCTAAAAACACT